TATTGTTATTTTATGATATCCGCTTCTGGTTTTACAAGGTTTCTGTGCTTATAAATCCATAGAAATGGTAAGTTTAAACATTATTGATACACGTATCTGTGTGTTTGAAAATTTAACTCGATTACGCTACAAATACTGCATTGTAGCATCTGACATTGTTGACTTTAAATGAAATAAATCATTTAAAGTTCAAAGTTCACTAGTAGTGGTACCTGTAGTGTTGATAAAAGGACAAAACACCCAGATTTTCTCATAGAGTTGATTTTAGTGAGATTTTTTATTTTATTTAGGAAATTACACATCTACACGAAATATAATTGTTGGATGTATATATTGCATTTCAACATGTTCATGTTTAAGACGACTAAATTTCATTCAGAATAAACTGCAGTTATCTTAGAATTGAAAAACACCACGTAAATAATTTATATACTGCTCTGTAATATATACAGTTTACATCTCTCGCCCTTCTCATTTACGTTCTTTTCTAGTTTTAATGTGCCGTTCTAACAGGAATTCTCTTGTAAGATCAGCAAAACTAACAAAGATTTTTTTTATGTAAAACATTCAAAAATATCGAAATTTTTGCAAGGTGAATTTTGATGATGTATTTTTTATAGGCCTAGAGTTCCGTCATCGCGACAACCAATGAAGCGGAACACAGTATCTTACTAGAGTACCGCTGTAATATTTCTTTTCCTTCTTAAATAGTACAACCATCAGTCTTGATATTACGTAAATGTAATATCACATCGACGATCAGATTCTCGCAATTAATTATTTTATTATTGTTTTAGGTGGAGAATTTATCACATGAAAAGATTGCAGGTACGTGATCTCATCTTCTGACAACACTATCAAAGACAGACGTGTCACAAATACTTATATAACTATGTCAAAATTTGTTAAAACAAAAGAACTTTTGTAAATAGCCTTCAATACCAAACTTACCTTCATTAGATAACACGGATGTCATATGTTGTTACAAAGAAAACAGGGATGTCACACTTTGTGGATTTTGAAACACAGAGAGCAAGGATGTCACCCGCTCCTTTGTTTGTTACACAGACGACAGGGATGTCACTCGCTCTTGTGTCTGTTACATAAATTACAGGTATGTCACCACCCGAGGTTGTGTTTTGTTACACAAATTACAGGGATGTCACTCGCTCTTGTGTTTGTTACACAGATGACAGGGATGTCACTTTGTTACACAGATGACAGGGATGTCATCCGAGGTTGTGTTTGTTAAACAGATGACAGGGATGTCACTCGCGCTAGTGTTTGTTAAACAGATGACAGGGATGTCACCTTGTTACACAGATGACAGGGATGTCACCCGAGGTTGTGTTTGTTACACAGATGGCAAATTTGTCATTGGCTCTTGTGTTTGTTACACAGATGACAGGGATGTCATCCGAGGTTGTGTTTGTTAAACAGATGACAGGGATGTCACTCGCGCTAGTGTTTGTTAAACAGATGACAGGGATGTCACCTTGTTACACAGATGACAGGGATGTCACCCGAGGTTGTGTTTGTTACACAGATGGCAAATTTGTCATTGGCTCTTGTGTTTGTTACACAGATGACAGGGATGTCACCCGAGGTTGTGTTTGTTACACAGATGACAGGGATGTCACCCGAGGTTGTGTTTGTTAAACAGATGACAGGGATGTCACCCGAGGTTGTGTTTGTTACACAGATGACAGGGATGTCACCCGAGGTTGTGTTTGTTACACAGATGAAAGGGATGTCACCCGAGGTTGTGTTTGTTACACAGATGGCAGGGATGTCACCCGAGGTTGTGTTTGTTACACAGATGGCAAATTTGTCATTGGCTCTTGTGTTTGTTACACAGATGACAGGGATGTCACTCGCTTCTGTGTTTGTTACACAGATGGCAGGGATGTCACTCGCTCTTGTGTTTGTTAAACAGATGACAGGGATGTCATCCGAGGTTGTGTTTGTTACATAAATAACAGGGATGTCACCAGAGGTTGTGTTTGTTTCACAGATGGCAGGGATGTCACCCGAGGTTGTGTTTGTTACACAGATGACAGGGATGTCACTCGCTTTTGTGTTTGTTACACAAATTACGGGGATGTCACTACCCGAGGTTGTGTTTGTTACACAGATGGCAGGGATGTCACTCGAGGTTGTGTTTGTTACACAGATGGCAAATATGTCTGTGTTTGTTACACAGATGGCAGGGATGTCAATTGTTCTTGTGTTTGTTACACAGATGGCAGGGATTGTCTTGTGTTTGTTACACAGATGGAAAATATGTCGTTGGCTCTTGTGTTTGTTACACAGATGACAGGGATGTCAAGGTTGTGTTTGTTACACAGATGACAGGGATGTCACCCGCTCTTGTGTTTGTTACACAGATGGCAGGGATGTCACCCGAGGTTGTGTTTGTTACACAGATGACAGGGATGTCTCCCGCTCTTGTGTTTGTGTCACAGATGGCAGGGATGTCAATTGCTCTTGTGTTTGTTACACAGATGACAGGGATGTCACTCGCTCTTGTGTCTGTTACACATATGGCAAAGATGTCACCCGCTCTTGTGTTTGTTACACAGATGACAGGGATGTCACTCGCTCTTGTGTCTGTTACACAGATGACAGGGATGTCACCCGAGGTTGTGTTTGTTAAACAGATGACAGGGATGTCACCCGAGGTTGTGTTTGTTACACAGATGACAGGGATGTCACCCGCTCTTGTGTTTGTGACACAGATGGCAGGGATGTCAATTGCTCTTGTGTTTGTTACACAGATGACAGGGATGTCACTCGCTCTTGTGTCTGTTACACAGATGACAGGGATGTCACCCGCACAGATGACAGGGATGTCTCCCGCTCTTGTGTTTGTGTCACAGATGGCAGGGATGTCAATTGCTCTTGTGTTTGTTACACAGATGACAGGGATGTCACTCGCTCTTGTGTCTGTTACACAGATGACAGGGATGTCACCCGAGGTTGTGTTTGTTACACAGATGACAGGGATGTCACCCGCTCTTGTGTTTGTTACACAGATCTTGTCTTGTGTTTGTTACACAGATGACAGGGATGTCACTCGCTCTTGTGTCTGTTACACAGATGACAGGGATGTCACTACCCGAGGTTGTGTTTGTTACACAGATGGCAGGGATGTCACTCGAGGTTGTGTTTGTTACACAGATGGCAAATATGTCATTGGCTCTTGTGATTGTTACACAAATGACAGGGATGTCACTCGCTCTTGTGTTTGTTACACAGATGGCAGGGATGTCAATTGCTCTTGTGTATGTTACACAGATGACAGGGATGTCACTCGCTCTTGTGTCTGTTACACAGATGACAGGGATGTCACCCGAGGTTGTGTTTGTTACACAGATGACAGGGATGTCTCCCGCTCTTGTGTTTGTGTCACAGATGGCAGGGATGTCAATTGCTCTTGTGTTTGTTACACAGATGACAGGGATGTCACTACCCGAGGTTGTGTTTGTTACACAGATGGCAGGGATGTCACTCGAGGTTGTGTTTGTTACACAGATGGCAAATATGTCATTGGCTCTTGTGTTTGTTACACAAATGACAGGGATGTCACTCGCTCTTGTGTTTGTTACACAGATGGCAGGGATGTCAATTGCTCTTGTGTTTGTTACACAGATGACAGGGATGTCACTCGCTCTTGTGTCTGTTACACAGATGACAGGGATGTCACCCGAGGTTGTGTTTGTTACACAGATGACAGGGATGTCTCCCGCTCTTGTGTTTGTGTCACAGATGGCAGGGATGTCAATTGCTCTTGTGTTTGTTACACAGATGGCAAAGATGTCACCCGCTCTTGTGTTTGTTACACAAATTACAGGGATGTCACTCGCTCTTGTGTCTGTTACACAGATGACAGGGATGTCACCCGAGGTTGTGTTTGTTACACAGATGACAGGGATGTCTCCCGCTCTTGTGTCTGTTACACAGATGGCAAAGATGTCACCCGCTCTTGTGTTTGTTACACAAATTACAGGGATGTCACTCGCTCTTGTGTTTGTGTCACAGATGGCAGGGATGTCAATTGCTCTTGTGTTTGTTACACAGGTGTCAGGGATGTTACACATTGTTGTCTTTGTTATGTAAATAACCTGTATGTTACACATTGTTGTCTTTGTTATGTAAATAACCTGTATCTTACACATTGTTGTCTTTGTTATGTAAATAACCTGTATGTTACACATTATGTCTTTGTTATGTAAATAACCTGTATGTTACACATTGTTGTCTTTGTTATGTAAATAACCTGTATGTTACACATTATGTCTTTGTTATGTAAATAACCTGTATGTTACACATTGTTGTCTTTGTTATGTAAATAACCTGTATGTTACACATTGGTTTTTGTGATTGGAACCTGATTAACGTTGGTCGTTATATACCGTTCGGCAAGAGATATTTCATCTTTAGCTCGATCGATTCAGGATAAGATTGGCAAGCTGGAAATCCCAGGTTAGATTCCTATTGGAGGCATTGTAAAGTCCATGGATCTCGGTTATCAAACAATATAACGTCACGAGTATATTCGGAAATGCATTAGATCCTTTAAGGATCATAAAAATAGATTATCAAGGTACTCTAATCTTCTACTGGTTGTGTTATAAGATGAAGGTGACTATGTAGTCATCGAAACGTCACACTCTTATCTTCTACTGGTTGTGTTATAAGATGAAGGTGACCGTGTAGTCATCGAAACGTCACACTCTTATCTTCTACTGGTTGTGTTATAAGATGATGGTGACCGTGTAGTCATCGAAACGTCACACTCAAATCTTCTACTGGTTGTGTTATAAGATGATGGTGACCGTGTAGTCATCGAAACGTCACACTCAAATCTTCTACTGGTTGTGTTATAGATGATGGTGACCGTGTAGTCATCGAAACGTCACACTCTAATCTTCTACTGGTTGTGTTATAAGAACATTTCATTTGGTACACCCCCTGACATTTCTTGATTCACATTCCAGAATACAAAGACGTGTTCTCTCTTTTCGACAAAAACATGGACGGTGTGATCGACGCGATGGAACTCGGTACAATTCTGCGACAGATGGGAAAGAATCCAACGGATGCTGATCTATTAGATATCATTAACAATTCTGACATCGATAGTAAGTTTCGATCTTCTTCCAAGTAGTTACCAGCGATAGAATTAATATGAAATGTTTACACATATGATACGTAATCGATGCGGTAAATATACAGGTATCTTCATTGCAATACTTAATTAATGAGAGGCGAATGCTATTTTATATTAATGTTAGTTTTGAATGTATAAAGATGCTTTGAACCGTGACATGGGAACTGCACATGATTTCTTTAAACATGCATAAACAAGATCATCGAAGAAATATATGTTAAACGAAATAAAAAATTTACACAGGAAACGGCAAGCTCGACTTTCAGGAATTCCTTAAAATGATGGAAGGATATACAAAGGATATAAGTTCGGAAACTCAAATGGCAGAACTTAAAGAAGCGTTTAAAATATTTGATGACGACGGTAACGGGTATATCACACACGATGAACTGCGCGATGCAATGACTAACCTCGGCGAGAAACTCACCAATGAAGAAATAAACTCTATGATTCAGGAGGCAGATGTTGATGGGGACGGAAAAATTAATTATGAAGGTAAATAATGTTTGTCTTATCACAAAAGTAAAGTACAGTCAATATACTTATTGTCATAGATCATATGTTTTTTCTGATTTAATTGCTCAAATAAAACCGGTAATTCCATATATGGTCAAACAAAGTAGATGTAACACACGTGACCCTTCCAACTATGACGTATGTTCTTATACGCTGTATATAAGTGACGTAATGGATTTGTTTTGTTTAATATTGCAGAATTTGCGAAAATGATGGCAGGTTCATAAAGAAACCGACGTAAGTCTTTTCATTGTAATCTAGTCTGAAACAAATCCATTGATTCTTTTTATACTCCATTTTTAATTCAAAAATTCTTCTGTCCCTAAAATTATCAACATTAATGAAGAAAATACTGACTGCTAGTGACAGGCGATTTTCACCAAACTTACATATTGCCTCAACGTTTTATATTATCAACATTTTGGTTTTTTTAATCATCTGTTTATTTGTCTTTTGAGCGTGCTTTGAAGCTGGTATGAAGTTTTTTATCCAAAGTGTGCGGGAGCGTTATACAAATATACGAGGTAGTTGATTTCTGCAGAAAAATAAAAGCACGATTTGTTATACATACACCTTACAGCTAATGGATATCTCGGTATTCTGACACAAACGTGTGCTATTTTTTATAAACATATGATAATCTGTGTTCATGTTAACACCTAGATCACGTAAGTGACCTAATTCAGTGACCCAATTCAGTCCAATTCAGTGACCCAATTCAGTGACTGTATAACTAGCTTTAGACCACTCACCCTGGAACATTGGTTTGAAACAAGCTCTCAGGGGTTGGGGCCTGTTTCCACAATGACGTCACATTTGTTGTCCCCATTGAGTTTTCCTCCGACAATCGCTCAAGGGAAACGCTGAACTTCAGATTCTTTATTTGCTGTGAGCCATACGACTCATAGGCACAAAAGCAATACAAATACATAAACATATGTAATACAATACATATATATGTACTTCCACTCATTTACGCTTACACTCGCACACACACACACCCACCCTCACACACACACACACCCTCACACACACACACACACACACACACACACACACACACACACACACACACACACACACACACACACACACACACACACACACACACACACACACACACACACACACGCACGAACGAGCATACACTCACCCGCTCATACATATTCATTGTTCAATTTATTTGTGAAACAAAATATCTGAGGCTTATAGGTACCCGAAAGTACAATGATAATGTACACATATAACAATTAAATGAACCTTTAAATGGACAGCAGAGTGACATCAGAGTGTGTATATTGTACATATGTATATAAAACCATGTTCCCTGAGGTATAATCATGGATGTTGTAAGTCTATTAAAACTTGTGATTGACATAAAACTGAAGCTCTTTTACATTTGTTTATTTGTTGTTTCATTTCTGTGGTTGCATGCAACTGCCACCTACTTGTGTTGGCATGGTAATTTATCGCTACGAGTCGTCATGGTAACACGACCTGTCATGAAACATGTAATATCGTGTTAAGGCGTCTTATTAAGTCGACATGGCGTGATAAATATCGTGACACATTTTCTTAAAGACGCCTTCGGTATCATGACAACACTATTTTTGTCCTATATGACTGAGCATGCGCAGATGCTACGACACTGATCAAATCGAAATAAACGTGAAATATCTATTTCTTTGAATATATGGACGGGCAGTATAAGCATACACTTAACAATTATAAATTAATGTAAAATTAAAAATTTTCCTGGGGGATTTATTTTCGTTGATTTCGAGGAAACTTTTAATCCACAAATTCAAATGTCAAAAATCTGTTTAAAATGAATATGATTAAGCTGATTAAGATTTATTTATCTGTGAAATCAACTGACCACGAAATTGTATATTTTTGGGAAAAAAAAGCATTAAAACTGACTTCCACGAAATATATCGTTATTTAATCATGCTACTTACATTTCTTCTATTTATAGACCTGAGGAACTGACCCGTCCAGATAAACAGGACTAATGCCAGGACTACGAATACGTGTGTGAATCTATGGACAAACTTGGATTTAAAACAGACGTCAGCCATGATACAAATTGGTATTTAAGAAATGCTTACTAAACACCCAACGCTCAATAACGATGTTGATTATATAATACGGCATTCGTCCATCGTATACCGTAACGATCAAAATGATGGACATCAAGGCCATTTAAGGAATGTCTAGTGTTAAGGTGTTCTGGATTTTCTATATCATATTGATTGCTATTTAAGTAGCAGAGTTTTAAAACCAGTATCCATTGGAAATCTTCATTTGTACATATTTTATCATACAAGTGTGTTTTGAAATTGGTTAAAGGAACACAGAAGCCTTTGAAGCAGGTCAAGTATATACTGTGAATACTCATGAATCATTCTCATATTTTATTTATATGTTGTTTATATAAAGTCAGTATACTTTCATAATGTAAAAGTGTCCTTGTTGTATTTGTTTAACAAATGTCAACATGAAAAACAGCATCATCATCCAGTCACATCTGATAAATTGCTCTGTGTCATCGTTTGGGCGTGTCTGTGTACTTGTTAGAGCGGGTATGTGTAATTGTTAGAGCGCGTCTGTGTAATTGTTTGAGCGTGGCTGTGTAATTGTTTGAGCTTGTCTGTGTCATTGTTTGAGCGTGGTTGTGTAATTGTTAGAGCGTGGCTGTGTAATTGTTTGAGCGTGCCTGTGTAATTGTTTGAGCTTGTCTGTGTAATTGTTTGAGCGTGGCTGTATAATTGTTAGAGCGTGGCTGTGTAATTGTTTGAGCGAGCCTGTGTAATTGTTTGAGCCTATCTGTGTAATTGTTTGAGCGTGGCTGTGTAATTGTTTGAGCGTGGTTGTGTAATTGTTTGAGCTTATCTGTGTAATTGTTTGAGCGTGTCTGTATAATTGTTAGAGCGTGACTGTGTAATTGTTTGAGCGTGCCTGTGTAATTGTTTGAGCGTGGCTGTGTAATTGTTTGAGCGTGGCTGTATAATTGTTAGAGCGTGTCTGTGTAATTGTTTGAGCGCGTCTGTGTAATTGTTTGAGCGTGGCTGTATAATTGTTAGAGCGTGTCTGTGTAATTGTTTGAACGTGGTTGTGTTTATTGTTTGAACGTGGCTGTGTAATTGTTTGAGCGTGGCTGTGTAATTGTTTGAGCGTGGTTGTGTAATTGTTTGAGCTTGTCTGTGTAATTGTTTGAGCGTGCCTTTGTAATTGTTTGAACGTGGCTGTGTACTTGTTTAAGCGTGTCTGTATCATTGTTTGACCGTCTTTGTATCATTGTTTGACCTTCTTTGTATTATTGAGCGAGCATCTCTGTATAATTGAGCAAGCGAAACGTCAAACATGAGTTTAGGTCCGTGTCTGAAATATTAGAAAGTCGCTGTTATGACAGCTTAGTCTATGCTTGTGGCAGGTGACATACATATAAAGACGTCTTGGAAAAAACTGTAACATTTATAACAGACGTTTCAGGATACTCAGGGTGATTTCAATATCCTGGATGTAGACATTGATAAGCCTTTCATATTTCTAGACGAGAGTTATTGTCTCGCTCCACTGTAAGAGACATACAGTTGAATAGTACCTTTCAGTATGTATTAGCCGTGGGGCCTAATACTGAACTAAGGTATATCAGTATAGTACCGTTTGTCTATTCACAACAAAATTGTTGTGTTATTCAATGCATATACCATTGTGATATTTTACTGATGGACTCTGTTGAGGTTTTACAAACTTTTTTAGTTTCAAAGGAAATTTATGACACTTGTCACCAATGTTATATTTTACCGAGATTCAGAAAATTCTTAGAATCGTTTCCAAAATCCGATATGATAAGGTAATGGACATAAAGGTAAGATCTTATATGTGAATACATACATAACATATGTTATGAATAATACAAATAAACAAAAAAAATATACAAATAAACAAACAAACAAAAAATCAGAAAAGTTTAACCTGGGCTCAAATTCGACGAAAGACGGGAGAAAAGAAACAACACTGAATCACATGGAAACCCTGGAAGTACGTATTTTGGTGGCCTAGTAGTGCACTTGCCTTTCACTAAGACGTCTGAGGTTCGATTTCCGAGCGTAAGTGAAAAGGTAGGGGGTAACCTGCGATACCACGTGGGTTTTCCCGGATACTCCGGTTTCCTCCTACAGTAAGTCCCCCACGGCCAACAAGAGTGATTTGTGTGATCTATGATAGCCTGTTCGCAATTGTTGTAAAATGTTATTGATAAGTCATTCTCAAGACTAACGATTTTGTGCTTTCTATAATAAACACGTGACTCTAATCCAAAAAAAAGTTCATACTACATACTGGAAGCGGAACTATAAACTTTAAACAATAAACAAAATATGATTAAGTGTTACTGTACATTATAATTGTTATACGTATAACGAGCAGAGACGAAGTAGATAAAGACATCCGAATTTGATATGAACGACGAAATATAAGGTAGAGTATCTGATCATGCGGAGACGGCATGTTCCACCGAGGTTAAGGTTGTTTTGTCTTTCCTTCTATGACACCCGTATAGATTCCACGCTGATGGCCCTACCATACCAATATTGTTCTCTCACAAACAGTCACAGACCATGAAGATAGCAGGCAATGATAAATGAACAAACTAAACTACCCTTTCAAATAGATCATTAGGGTCGAGCTGGTACGCGTTCAGCTACAAGTAGGGGATCTTTAATCCGTTTATCTATTTGGAACAAGAATAACAATACATTTATAATCATTTATGTGTTGATGTACGGAAACGTGTCTCATGGACACGTGAGGTTTAAAACAAGCTAAACATTGTTTTTAATAAAAAGGTTTTGACATGTAGCTTCGTTGAACTCTACAGTAGGAATATTTAAATTCAATTAAGCTTAATAACTTATTTGCATATCAAACAGTTGGACATAATGCATTATCCAAATTATACATGACGACCCCTGTGTCTGATTTAAGGCGAATGATGTGTCAGATTGAATATACGTTCAATATAATTCTCTTGTTTTAAACACCATAGGCATAACTAGTTATTATAATAGTATTGACTCTATCACTGGTAACGGTTTACTGAATAAAATCGGGGTTATTTTTTTCCTTGTCCGAAAATTTCAACTGACTTTACTTTTAAATAACATGCATTTGTCAGAAGAGGATCGGCTGTGTGATGAGTTTTTATCGTTTTTTTTAGAAATGTTTCATCTATGTTAAATGTCGTTTCCTATATGCATTAGAAATATGAGATGCCATGAGGCTGTTCTGGTTTATAAAATACACGGACTTTGGTACATTTTAACAACAACCCGATCGACCTTAAGGCGTTCTCATTGAGTGGCTATCGAAACAATGTCTTCATATCGCCAGTATACCGTAGCGACACCAAACCCAATGTGTAACTTTGCTGCAAATCAAAACATGTTTTAAACGGAAGATGTCGAGGTTAACACAAACAACTGAACCATGCGCTAACCTGTACAAATATTTATCCTGTTTGCGCATTGAGCGGAAGCCGTCTCCACAATAAATATGGTAAGCATTCTGTTTATATTTCATAACATATGTTAATTTAAATGATATTGTCATATTTAGATCGTTAATTAAACAGTGTTGACCTTCAACACTACTTGTAATAAGAAGAAATATGTTGATAACATTTTTGACGACATGTGGAGCTACACATGTCAAAGATTACGTCTTACAGATAGCGAAAAGTGGAATCACACATGGAGCTATAATTCAATATAAATTTACAATAGAAATACGTTTTTTTCATTTGAATACAAATCATCAAGAGAGTTATTCTTGTCTCCTAAAATAAAACATGAAGTCGTAAAATAGTTCCTCTGTCGTGATATCAAAGGGAGTCAAGTAGCCTTTCTGATTTCTTGGAACAAAAATATCTTTTGTGTTTAAATACTGTTTTTATAATAGTGTCAGTTATTTCACAGCCACTACATGATAAGTATTGTGAGGTCACGCTGAATGTATCTCTATTGTTTTGATGTAAACATTGCTTTGACTACAATTATATATAATTGATTAATTCTTTTATGTGAGTGTTTCTTTAATCTTTTATGTTTGTATGCGTGGATGGAATTTACAGTTTGTATGCGTGTAAACGTGTGAGCATTGTTATATAATTAATCTATTATAAGACTTATCAGGATTTGGAAAACCTATTTATTAATATGAAATAAACGTCATATTAACTTACTATAATTGTTTAATTCCCTTACAGGCAGATCAAATGACAGAACAGCATATTGAAGGTAATGTATTACTTTTCTTTATAATGATCATCATTCTGGTTAAAGACGTTAATAAACTCATCAAGCTGTATTTACTTGATCTTTGTATTACATCTAAATATACAATATATACCATATACATACACCTATATACCTATATACATACACCTATATACATACACCTATATACCTATATACAATGTACCTATATACATACACCTATATACATATACCTATATAATATATGTACGTCTTTTTCATATACCTATATACCTATACACCTATATACCTATATACATACACCTATATACCTATATACCTATATACATACACCTATACACCTATATACCTATATACATACACCTATATACAATGTACCTATATACATACACCTATACACCTATATATAAATATTATGTATCATCAACATATATACTGACATTACATCACAATATATACCTATATACATACACCTATATGCTGTACTATATACATATATTTTTAATCCATATACAATGTACCTATATACACACACCTATACACCTATATACATACACCTATATACATACACCTATACACCTATATATAAATATTATGTAAGCCTTCAGCTTGTTCGATAAAGATGGAGACGGTTTTGTATCTTCTAAAGAGTTAGGGACAGTGATGAGGTCCCTTGGACAGAATCCAACAGAAGCCGAACTACAAGATATGATCAATGAAGTGGATACTGATGGTAATTATTGAAAACTTAAGTACAAAAATGGAGTATTGGTAAAGTATTCTGCTAGAATCTTAATCATAGGGGTTAGAAATCCAATTTTTACAGCAGATGTGACGGTCATATCATACAATGGTTATAATATGCTTTTATTCCACCAAAATATGATGTGAAACTATTGTTACCTACCAATGAAGACAAGCTTTACTTCAATGGGTACTTGAATGACTGAATATATATTTTTTAATAATAATTGCATATGTTCTTTCAGTATTTTAAAGCATTTTAGATTTGGGTGGTGAGGTGGCGCAATGATATCCTGTTCGCCTTTCACCTTGGCGTCCGGGTTTGATATATGCTTAAAGCTTGTTTCGTAAATGTTGGAAGATAAATACATTTCATTATAAATATAATCTAGATTTGAATTCTACCTTAAAACGAATTATTTCCAGCACATCCTTTATGTTGTTTTCAGCTCAACAGAAGCATGCAACATTTTAAACTTAAAGTGTGATATGTTTCAAGATTGAAAACACAATTGTGTGTCGTTTAAGTATGTGTATGTTTTGCATAATTTTTAAACAGATGTGAATTTGTAATGCGTTTTTTATGAAGTCAATTCTTTTATTTATGCAATACAAGCGCCAAGACTTCAACACATCGCACTTTTCATTCTTGATATCCCTTTTGCAGGAAACGGCACGATAGATTTTCCAGAGTTTTTAACTATGATGTCAAGAAAGATATTTGATGATGACAGCGATGCAGAATTAAAAGAGGCCTTCAGAGTGTTTGATTCTAATGGAAATGGGTTTATCGGTGCTGCAGAACTACGCCACGTGATGACAAACCTCGGGGAGAAGCTGACGGATGAGGAGGTGGAAGAAATGATACGAGAGGCGGATATCGATAAAGATGGTCAAGTCAATTATGAAGGTATGATTGCCACTTGATATGAAACCGGTTGATTTTTATGATTCGTGTTACTTTAGTAAGTCATGGGTTGTATATAAATTAGCATTAATATGTTTGACATCTGATGTCGTACAACAGGCGCATCTTCATTTAAATACAGTTGTGTAAACAATTTCATTCCAAAGTATCATTATTACAATTTTAAAAGGAACTCAGATTCAGATTTCAAATTTAAGAAGTGTTTGTATATGGACAACAATCTCATAACTTGAGTATATCACATTAAGTGTAGGATGACATATTTATTAAATTTGAAGGTCATCGGCAATGAAAAAAAGGAAGATTATGTCTTTAAAATATGATCGGTGTATTGTACGATGTATAGATAGCATTATTTCTACCTGTAAACAACCGAGGAAGTTAAAATATCTAGAGTTATTTCCCTTCTGATGCATATATTTATTTTTATATTACAGAATTTGTGAAAATGATGCATACCTAGGGAGAGGTAAGACAATATAAATTAAGAAATGCGGTATTTGAATATTTTCGTACTCCCATGATTCATGCCGATGTATACTAACGACTGCTAATCAATGATATCTACCACATACACATGTATGTAACAGAAAATATACATATCTGTTGTCACAATATGTCCGTATTTCAGTTTACCGCAATAATTATCACCTGTAATTTGATGACATGAACAACGATAATTATTCCTCATGTTCCTCTGAATGTTTAATGATACAGGGAATCGGTAATTAAAGTAACACTAATTTGCCAATTAACACTAATGAGTTAATTAGTTATATTAATTGCTAATTTGCATAATTATGAGTTAAGGAAAAATAAAGGATATGTTCTTCTTTATCTTCCAGAGAGGGATATGAAAATTTAACAGTATACGTATGAGACCCCTCGACTGATGATATATCAAGCATACTGTATACAGCTGGGCGATTGGAATCTAAAGAATGGATGTGGATGAGATTGACAATTAATTGTTTATTTTTATCATGTTTGATTCACGTCAATACAACTTGGATAATAACATTATTTACTGTTTACTTAAAATCGCCTTCATTAAACAAAGTAAACAAACGTAATTTTCTGTGGGTAACTGTTTCTCTTTAGGTTGTAAACTATTTACAAAACATATCGTATCTTATGAATAGGATTCAGCAATACAAATATACAGTGACTACACCTATCATTAACAGTATATGTACACTATAAAGTGTCTGCTGTATACCTTCAACATCGAGAACATATCATCAGTCAATCAATTTGTTTTTATTTATCATCATATCGTAAACTTATGTTTCTACTGGTGCCATTGCTATAATATATGTGATTTGTATATTTATTTTGATGATAAGATGACCTAAGATAGAATTACAGGTGAATCCTATATAACATGTCCCCATCAAATAACAAAAGTGGAATAAACCGTGATAAACAAATTCATGAATTAGTGTGGCGTTTGAAAAAAAAATTAAACACAAACTATATCAGATTAACACAAAAGCTAAAGGGAAGTAACTCATGAAGTGAGCATGTCACACACTTCATACACTCTACAATAAATAAACTATTATCACACGCAGACATTGGTAGACTTAAATTATTCCGATATCTATATACAATAAACTTTTAGATTACAGGTAAAATTGTAACACTATCCAGACATAGTATTTTCAATGCGTGATGTATATGTTATCATTATTTATATTTGTGATTTTAACGTATATACTCTAGTAGAAATATTGATTTGTTATCAATCATTCGCAGGTGTCTGTTTTGGAGTTGGTCATTTCTATTATACAAAGCTTATGTTCGATGCTAAGGGGCGATAACTCCAATGAATATAAATGTTTTATATCATAACACTGTTTTATAGTTAAACAGGATATTGTCGTGTAAGGCAGCCAATAAAATGCTTTACATAGGAATGAAATATTTAAATTAAAAGAAAAACTTAATTCAAATTCAATTGAGGGAAAAACAGAATACCTGTATGGAGACTATAGAACTACAAGATATGAAGGCAGTATATATTCTAGAGATGTAGGCGGGTTTTTTTATCAGCGGAATTCGTCTGGTAAAATTTGGTCATTTTAAACAAAGTTTCGTTCTTAAAGTAACAAATAGGTTAGCATCAACCACACCACCAGTCACAGGAATAAACATCAAACATGTTGATGTTCATGTGGATAATCTCACAACCAAACTATGAGGTAGAGGAATGAACATATTGATCATTAATCGATATTGATCGATAATCGTACAACTACATATTAAACAGAGGACTACACATTACACATGTTGGCTTCAGGTCGTTAACAACTACATCAGTCTCAGAAATGAACAGCCAAGACAGTGGCGTTCAAAAAGTCAGACGGGAAACATTCTCTTACAAAGCTATCACCTACTACTTCCAAACATGTCGTCATAGAATGGTCAGTTTGTAAATAGAAAATCTAACCATCAAACTCATTATACGATTTATTTGCAAGAAAAGATTTGATTATTACTGTTTACCAGTATGTCAGTCATAAGCTACATGAAGATTGCAAGCAGTAGAAAACTGACAACCGTAGCAGTATTTCTTTAATCTTCTGAAAACAGAAACTTACAGCAGTGGGGGCAAAGGGATCATCCTACCTAGATGTTCCAGTAGAGGAGGAGGCCGGATTATCATATTGGCCAAACTGTTTGCTGTACATAATTACAACAAAACTCTGAATGGTATATCGAAATGTGATTTGCTTCACAAGGAAACTGAGAAATACAATATATAAATTTAAAAACATATCCGTATTGCTTACCAATAATACGAGAGAATTAACGATAAACGAGTATTGATTTATAACTTGTTATATTAAGCAGTTAAAATTTGATTTTCAGATAAAGGTCGATTACACAGGTACTGTATGCCATCACTGAAATATGTTCAGTATAAATAGAAAAAAGAACCTTAATTCAGTGTTCATATCATAACTCTGTGTACCCTATTAAATTGTCACTTGTATAAAAAAAATTTTGATGAACGTAAGGGGCAACAAGAGTTCTGACACTTCCTGTCGGTGTAAATCTTGTCCAGTGTTCCTGATAGTTTCAGATAATTTTTCCTGATAGTTTCAAATAATTTTTCAAACCCTCATACATAGTTGTCTGTTTTAACTATGTATTGAATCTTGGTTTTTGTCGATTTCACGGAGTGATGAATTGAGTTACTCTCGAGACAAATTTAATTAAGTGCAAAGCAGTCCATGTTAAATTTGTCTCAAGAGCAACTCAGTTCATTACCCCATGAAATCGACAAAAGCAAGATTCAATGATTATATTTCTGTTTTCAATATTTTGAGCAAATCGAAATCTGCTGATACTAGAACTTGTGCAAGTCTAATGGATTGCGTATAAACGTAATCCGACATTTAGATAATGATTAAAGATTATTACTCGGGCAAAATACGATTATGTGACACATCAAAATTACAAAACAACAAATAATCAAATTGCAATGAAGAATTTTGTCAATATGTTTTAAAAAAAAATACGACACCGACAGTTACGAGGAAGACCAGCGTCTACACTGAGTTCTAAGGTCGTCTCCTGCTCCTCTTCGCATTGGGCGGACTATGCTTTTTATGACCTTTCTCAGTAGCTTATGTATTTATGACATAAAGAACTTTGGCAAGAAGCAGTGCTGTCTCAAAATCTCTCAGTAGATGCCCTTAATAGTGTTGGGGGTTTTCATTTTCAGGCAGTAGAAGATTACACTTTTTCCAGCAGATGACATTATTTGCAATGTCTCAAGCAGATAACAAGAGAGGGACAATAAATCTGTTTCTACTGCTATAAATTAGCAGAATCCTATTTTGTTATTATCTTATAATTATCACATATATCATTTATCTTTGACAATTTATATTCTGCAAATCTGAAGCAAATGTGATAACTTTGATTGGTAGTTTAGCAGCAAACATATGATAAGGTGTGTATGTAGAGGGACCGGGGTAGTATAAGGTGTGTATGTAGAGGGACCGGGGTAGTATAAGGTGTGTATGTAGAGGGACCGGGGTAGTATAAGGTGTGTATGTAGAGGGACCGGGGTAGTATAAGGTGTGTATGTAGAGGGACTGGGGTAGTGTAAGGTGTGTATGTAGAGGGACCGGGGTAGTATAAGGTGTGTATATAAGTGTATATATGTGTACTGTTTAAGCGTCCGTGTGATTGTTATCAGGACACGAAGTTCATTGATCTGAAGGTATCTGTGTATGTATTTTAGGCATTCAGTTATTTACAATAGATATACAGAGTTATTATACTAATGTTTATGGTGACTGTTTTAACAACGAGAAGGCTGGTATTCTGGTGGAAAGATTCAATGATTATGCTTCATAAGACTTTAATCAATTGAGCATATTTCACTGTGTTTTAGTTTCCAAAGGAGAACTACTTTTCGTGTCAAGGAAGATGGTAAGTTGAGTTCTTCATTGTACATATTACTGTATATAGTTTCCAGTTTCCGTAAATAACAGTATTTTTCTGGTAAATTCTTGTAATCATGAAAATTGAAGAAAAACAAATCGATCTTGCAATGCCTTCTCAGAAATAGGTAGAAGTAACAATAAATTATTTGTCTCCCGAAATGTTTTCTGCTCGATCAAATGTTCTTTTGTCAACTAATTCAATAAAAAAACGAATTTTAATAATTGTCAGGCATTTTAGGCTGTAATAATCAAGCGAGATTATATCTAACACTATTCTGTGTTATCTATAGGAAAGGGATTTGATCCTTCGAATATAGGTTATTTACTTATATTTTGATTTGAGAAATTTTGTGATGATTGGTAGATAAATGTGACATTATTTGACGAGGTATTTCAAGCTAAAGACCTTACATATAGTTCCATTACAGATAATGTTTACGAAACGAATTTGCCGCTTCTTCAACCTTCTATAAAAAATGGTTTTCTCAAGATGTAGTTTCCACTGCTGCCCTGGTAGATACAGCTATCTGCCCTGTAAGTGATATCTGCCCTGGTAGATACAGCTATCTGCCCCGTAAGTGATATCTGCCCTGGTCGATACAGCTATCTTCCCTGTAAGTGATATCTGCCCTGGAGATACAGCTATCTGCCCTGTAAGTGATGTCTGCCCTGGTAGATACAGCTATCTGCCCTGTAAGTGATATCTGCCCTGGTAGATACAGCTATCTGCCCCGTAAGTGATATCTGCCCTGGTAGATACAGCTATCTGCCCTGTAAGTGATATCTGCCCTGGTAGATACAGCTATCTGCCCTGTAAGTGATATGAAATTTTGTTCTCAGCACTATCAAGAATTTCCAACGTTGTATCATCAAATGAATTATATGACAAGTAAACACATTCTATACATTTTTGTCCATTGTCTTCGGGTTTCCATGCGGGTCTTTTGACAATATTTCACGGCTGTTTAACAGTTTTTCTGATGTTTCAAAAAAGGCTTGGCACAGTGTAATAGTGGGAATTTTTTGTCTCCATTCATAACACCTGATCGCAATTATTTCACACGTTACCCTGATCACTCACCCCTACAGCACTTCTGGAAACATTCCAAGATATCAATAAATATAGCGATTGAAAAGCATAGATCTAACCTTCAAGCCACAATGAACGCATATCGGTGATATTCTTATGTATGGAACATGTAGAACGATACGGATGTTCAGTACCATACAATTTATACATCAGCTTTATTCCATCAACTGGCTTTCTTAGTTCTAATTTATCCTTTCGATTGTTTTACCTACCCCTTAAATTTATCATCGTACAAAATTATTGTTTTCAGAAACTGATATCGAAAACCCAAAATCGATCCTTTGAGGGATCGATATTACAGATTTATCGGTTATATGAATGTACAGTGAAGCAGTGCTGAACTGGAGACCGTAGAGGGAAAAAACCACAAAAAAACAAACAACAAAAAAACAAACAACAAAAAAACAAACAATAAAAAACAATCAATGTAGCGCGTATTACACGTGCGTTTTATATCTTTTTATTGGATTTCCATTCAATACAATATAAATTGGGACAATGTCTTTAAAGCTGTGAGCGTTCAAGATCTTGATTATTACTGTGTGGTGACGCTGTCTCGTCTACTTTCGGAACAAAATTCACGAAGGAGTGAGAGTTAGTTTGTACTACTGTGGAGCAAGTTTATCTGTCCCTCAACTGTCATATTTAAAAAAAAAATAATGATAAAGCGAAGTGGTATGTTATCGACCCCATGGTTAGTTTAACTACGCACCAAAAATAGTGCGTAACAGGACGATCAGTATGTCTGGGTGTTTTTTTTTCATTTTGATACTGATTACAGGTTAACCAGTTGGTGAACGATCAGGTAAATACACTTACTGTTTGGCGGTATACTGTACGTCCAGAAAAGTGTGTCAGAAAATTTTACTGTTTTAGTTTTTTTCTCTTGTCATATATCTTTTCTCGTGCATATTCATTAATGTCTTTCCGTTGTTTCCGTTGTAATGATTTCGTTTTTGAAATACTGGTTGCCATGGATACGGAAAGATAAATGATAGAAACAGAAAGATAATGGAAATGAAAGGATAGGATCTTTTACCAGTTTGGTGTTGACAGTGTTTCCTTCAATCGTGGCTTATCTACTGCTTCAAGCTTGTTATTGATATTATTTTAGATAGTAAATTTCAAGATATTTTTACTGCAGACCAAGTAAGGCTTATATTTGTGACTGGAATACATTTAGCCTAACTTTCAAGACGTGTGTAACTGCAGACCAAGTAAGGCTTATATTTGAGATTGGTTTATATCTAGACTCTAAATTTCAATATTTTTTTACGTTAGGAATTTTGGTTATTTGGAGATATAACTACTAAAATTTGTAACATACAATTCTTTCCTCACAGACCCATTAATGTTATATCTTTTATGTTTTCAGTCAACACTAAGCGAGGCAGAGAGGAATGGTGAGTGTACAATTAACACAGATCTCTCTCTCTCTCTCTCTCTCTCTCTCTCTCTCTCTCTCTCTCTCTCTCTACCTCCTACTCTCCCTCTCTCTCTCCCTCTCTATCTACCTCCCTCCCTTCCCCTCTATCTCTCCCTCTCTCTCTCTCTCCCGCTCCCCCTCTCTCTATACTCTCTCTCTCTCTCTCTCTCTCTCTCTCTCTCTCTCTCTCTCTCTCTCTCTCTCTCTCTCTCTCTCTCTCTCTCTCTCTCTCTCTCTCTCTCTCCCCCCCTGCCTCAATTTCTCTATATAAAACCATCCAATCACAGATTTGCATTCTGATCTTCACTTAGTCAATCAATGAGTATCTCTTTGTTAAATACTTGATCTTCATTTCCTTATGTTTTTAAGGAGCCTCCGAGTACATCTTTCTTTTGTTTATATGTTGCCCTAGTTTTATTGAATTTGGGTTTGGATTATGATTATGTTGACATGTTTTTATCTGTTAAGTTCAGTATTCAGCTTTATTTCTCTCGTTAACCTGTCATAACCAAACCTGAAATATATTCATATTTTATGGGTAACCTTTCACACGGCTCAAGTAATTAACAGATCCGTATACTGGATTCTGTTTATTAATTGAATAATGTTAAAGTATTCCATTTAGCTCTTCATGGAACTTAAATCATGTATTTCTACATATTTGCTTAATCCTGAAAATATGGTGAAGTGAGGACACGCGAGACAAAAAATCGCGTGTGTTTTTTTATCCTGTTGACATGGAGAACAGGTGACACACATAAAACTCGTCCTGACATAAATACTTAAATATTTATCTCTTATATTTCAGACGTGAAGGAAAAATTCAACCATGTTGACACGGATGGTAGCAAATTTTTAAACGCAGATGAACTGAAAAGGTTACTATACCTATTAAAAGTATCAAAAACACCATCGGAAATGAAAACGTTCATGGAACAGGCAGATAAGGATAGTAAGTCACCTGGAGAAATCAAAACATGCCGGTGGCTACTACAATAATTATCATCATTATTATTATCATTATTATTATTATTATTATTATCATTTAACATTTACAATAGGTGGTTATGTCAATTGAATATAGTTCTTATAACACAACATTAATCTGATGAAGGTGACCGTGTAGTCATCGAAACGTCACACTCTTATCTTCTACTGGTTGTGTTACAAGATGAAGGTGGCCGTGTAGTCATCGAAACGTCACACTCTTATCTTCTACTGGTTGTGTTACAAGATGATGGTGACCGTGTAGTCATCAAAACGTCACATTCTTATCTTCTACTGGTTGTGTTATAAGATGAAGGTGACCGTGTAGTCATCAAAACGTCACACTCTAATCTTCTACTGGTTGTGTTATAAGATGAAGGTGACCGTGTAATCATCAAAACGTCACACTCTAATCTTCTACTGGTTGTGTTATAAGATGAAGGTGACAGTGATGTCATCAAAACGTCACACTCTAATCTTCTACTGGTTGTGTTATAAGATGAAGGTGACGTGTAACCATCGAAACGTCACACTCTAATCTCCTACTGGTTGTGTTATAAGATGAAGGTGGCCGTGTAGTCATCGAAACGTCACATTCTAATCTTCTACTGGTTGTGTTATAAGATGAAGGTGACCGTGTAATCATCAAAACGTCACACTCTAATCTTCTACTGGTTGTGTTATAAGATGAAGGTGACCGTGTAGTCATCGAAACGTCACAGTCTAATCTTCTACTGGTTGTGTTATAAGAACTTCTATTCCAGTGACAGTAGCTCAGTAGCATTTGTCATGACATAGAATGTAGGTCAATTTAACTAGACAGAGAGAATTAGTCTCTACAAAAGGTCATGACAATTTTCACTGTGTGTGATAATGAGAATGCGATATCGTGGTTGAGAACGACTCTTTAATTTGTCATAACACTGGTCAAAGTGCAGGATAGCACTAAGATATCTCTTCACACTTTCATGAAATCTGACAACATAAATGGTGATATCAGTATGCCGATTCTGATATTTCTGTCCTTGGTAAACACACTATTACATACGATATAAATACACTATTTTTTTTTACCTTATTGAATTGCAGAGAACGGCTCTTTAAGTTATGAAGAATTTCTAGTAGTTTTCGAAAAACAACCTAAAGATGACAAAACCTTAAGGGCAGCGTTTGATGAAATTGATACTGATGGAGAGCTAAGCATTGACGAGTTCAAACAGATCATGGTACATAAAGGGCAGTATCGGCTAACTGAAAAAGAGTTCAAGGACTTAATGACAGAGATGGGCGCGGGTGGAGTCATTCGCAGTAAGGGTAAGTACCTTACTCTTTTCTCATTGGTTGTTTTCATTATAAATATAATGAGCTATGACGTAGAAGTACGTGAGGAGGTTTGTATTTCTAAAAAGAAACAGGGATCAAGGAATGTGATGGATTTTTCGATTGCCAGGACATGTTACAGGTTTTAGTTTCACAGAATGTGACAGGCCGTTGTTAAGTGTGTTAAGTGATAGAGACACTAGCTACTACCAGGAGAGTCTGCCTGGGGAATTTTAAGCTGTTTGGTTTTTAACACTAAATATTCCTTAAACATGTTTATTCACGTGTACCTTTCATAGTTGTCCAATGAATGTTGATGATAAATGTACATATCAGCTTACAGTGACGATCTATACACAATTATGACAACTTACTTTTACATAAGAACGACGCGGATCTTTTTCTCCAGTCAACCGTTTATTATGATATTTTAGGTATTTGTTTAAGTTATTTGTAGTATTTATGAAGAAATTAAATTTACGGTTATTGTGTAGACATTAAAGGTATCATTATTGGTGTACTGTTACAATGTCGGTACTCACAAGCCATACTATTAATCATCTGATTAAATCTATATCGAATTATCGATCTTAATTTTTCTTAACAACATCCTACACACTAATGACAATATCATAGCGTTCATTGCTGCAGCATCGAAGAGTAATTTGAATAATCAAAATATCTCTGAACAAAATATTACAATTGTAGAGTTTATAAAGATAGAAATACGTCTGAATCAACCAGACATCTAAAGGTAGCCAGGGTGAGCTTATTTCTTAAACACTAATACATGAGTTCACCTTAAAAAGCTTGAATTTATCATGGTTACAGCGTTGGTACAAATCCTATAATTGTGATATATGTACAACACGTGTTTGTTTTAATCTTATATTGATCTTACGTTTGTTTAATCTAAGTTTTAGAACATTCTACGATCCGTCCTTAACTGACCACATATATCAGTAGGGAGTAAAACAAAACAAATCTTAAATGTATATAATACCGCACGATTCTTTGTTCCAGAATACATTAAGTTCGTGACAAGTGATTGAAGAAAGCGTACAGCGAGTAGGAAACATTGAGCAGCTATGTTACTGGGCATTAAAATACCATGACCAGTGTTTTACTCGCCATTGTCAACACCAGAAGAACTACCTGAGGGGATTTAGTATATTCTGTTTTATATTTCTTTTACATCTAACTAGTATTTGTGTGAAAACACACGTTATATGAATTTGATAAAATCATACCTGTAATGACACATAGTGGACCTGTTATTGACTTAGGGGCATCGCTGTTTCAGTTGTGACGTCATAACATGGTGTCATTTGCATTTCTTGCGAAAATTCAGAAGTGATATTACAAATAGAAACTTATATTTGCTGCTATTTTCAATGACATTAAAGAAACGTACTGAGTTTACACGTGTTTCCTTTTACATCACAAGGGCTCGGAAAAATAAAAAAAAAAACAGAAACTCGTCTCTAATCTCATATTCAATAGAGACACATGCATATAAACAGTAATTGATTCTTGTGCTTATATTGCGATATAATGAACATTGTTTTGAAATGTATTATTAGAATAAACATATGATACATCAATATGGCGTTGTATATGATTTTGAACGCACATCTGCCTTACTACAGATTTCAGACGGAATTTAATAATACTTAATTTTGATCATTTATCACCACAGTGCATGGTTGAAACTATGTATTTAATTAAGACAAAGTAATGTCCTAGATTGTTTTACGGGTTTACTTATTGATGTGCTTGTGTTTAGGACTAACTTTATATACTGATGAGCTGATTTTTTTAATCGTTTAGGATTCAAGAGAAAGTTAAAACAAACTGGGGGATTTTTAACTTATATCTTTAAGGTGTAGATGTATAAACGATATACAGTTTCATTTTTCAGTTTTGCCGCCTGCTGAAAATGAAATGTTTCTATGGTGCGACCACAGATAATTGTAGAGAAGTAGGTGCACAGTACTGTGAATCTCCTAGCCATTATACTTGTACTCGATTTTAAGTTTGAATAAAGATATTAAAATTCCAATCCAACTGAGACACAACATGGACATGTTGGCAGTCTCTTGATTTTATAGTATTGTGTAATGACACAACAGCAGATTGAATTTGTATAATGTAGATATACTTGTAGGCGCAAAAGAACATTGGTTAGGTATATATTTAGCATATACATGTATATAGTGCATCAAACAAATATAAAGCTGCATATAGGTACATTGTTAAAACATTAAAATGCCAACGCATTGACTAAATTGTGAATAACATTCCTAGCCCCAGGCACGAGTCTACAAAGACGTAGCGGCTTTTTCATATGTTCGGCCATTACAGAAACAGCGTAGTGAAGTAAAAACTCCAACTGTAGACAGAACAAACAACACTAAAGATGAAAACATTTACACTTCACGGATAACTTTGTGATCTCACTTTTTTGTTTTTGTTTTGTTTTCTATAGCCTACATTAAGTTGTGCTCTGAAAATTTTGTCATCAATTACTGGCAAAGTCCGTGATCGAGCACTTGGTGATATAATCCATCACATTAACAAATTTACAATACACACAGTTATAAGTCCAAAATTTGTCAGATGAAACAGGTAATGAGCAGAATGCTGTCCCAATTTCATAAGATGTGGAGATTTTCACTACTAATATTTCTGTTCTATGGTATCAATTTTGCACCATCCGTCACCTCGTCTGTTAATCGTCATCACCAGCTAGGATACGGTAGTCAGACACCAGGAGGTTTGTATTGTATTTGTAAATTTCACTCTTTTTAATATGTACAGATATTTGATATCTTAATCGATCTCGTCCACAAGGTTTACCGAAACTGATGTTTGTTTATCCTATATTATATACTAGCGGAAAAAAGAAACGCAAGTGTCGGTTTAAATTCGGTCAACCGTGACCACAGGCGACGCTGCACGATTTGAACAGATTTTCCAACAAAGCGTGCGTCCGTAGCCCTACCACGTGCTAACAACTTGAAACCATACCAAATCCAAGTTTTGAACAGCACACATCCAGTGCACAACATTTCATTCCAAGGTGATTAAGGCGAATGTCCGAAGTTGATAGGGATAGGGCTATTGCCTGAATTCTACAGGGCCAATCGCAACGTCTCGTCGCCCAGCAATTTGGAGTCGATGATTCAACGATAGCTCGATTAGTTGGGCGTCTCAGGGCCACCGGAAGATTAGCTGACCGTCCCAGGAGCGGACGTCCACGCGTTACGACGCCACGTCAAGATCAGGGCATACGTCTCTCACACCTACGTAACCGATTTCAGACAGCGACGGAGACGGTAAGTCATATTGTAGGCACTCATGGTCGCCGTGTGTGTCCAAGAACAGTTAGGAATCGGTTACGGGAGTTGAATTTAAGGTCACGAAGTCCCTACGTTGGCCCGCAACTTACACCCAGGCGACGTCAAAGTCGAATGCAATGGCTGCGTGCACATACACCAAATCGGTTTAGTTTGGCCCGCTGGAGATGTGTGTTATCCACGGACGAGTCTCGTTTCACGTTGTACAGGTCAGTTGGACGAAAACGTTGCTGTCGACGTCGCGGTGAGCGATATTTTGACGCATGCGTTAAAGAAAACGACAGATGCGGGGGAAGGTCTGTTATGGTTTGAGAGGGGATTTTTCCTGGCGTGAAAACACCTCTCGTGATTATTCAAGGCAATCTTACAGCCGTCCGATATCGGGATCAGGTCCTCATTCCTCATGTCCTTCCATTAATCCAAGCGCGAAACCTTACGTTGCAGCAGGATAATGCGAGGCCGCACGTTGCCAGGGTGTGTCGTAACGCTATCCATGCCATGATCATCCATAAAACATTTGAAATATTTACCACCGGACAAAAACTTGCGTTTCTTTTTTCCGTTAGTATATCATCACATCGTTCCGTGTGATATTTTCAAGTTTATTGATATGTGTTTGTTAGACAATGGATGTGTGTTCGTATGTACGAAACCGACATTATTATCCCAGCTTCTTAAACTGTAGAACATAAAATATTCCTCCATATTTTTTTCTTGGTTGACCATGAATACTGACTACAAGATCAAAAGTCTTTCTGTTGTCATTTTTTTCCTTCGGTATTAAAAGCAAGAAAAATTGTTGAGAAATTAAAATGTTCTTTCAAAACAGTAGAAGAGGTTAAAAGTTTGGTCTTCGAAACTTCACACAATTTTCTTATCATTTGTGATATGAGAACTTCTATTCTATATATATATTTTCTTGCCAACCCGAAGGAAACATCAAAGAGAATACTATTGCATAAATACAAGATCTATACTTCACACCTATACCTAGAGTTTTGACGAAATACCATATTGCATTTAGACTGAATGCTTGACATACTGCAATATAGGTTTTCTTAATCAGAAATTACTTGTTTTGCGATAAAATTATTTAACATGAATACATGAATAAATATTAGGAAATACACTGATACTATAAACGATGAATAGTGTTAATCATTTCGTGGATATATATTTACGCGGATTACTCAAAACCTGATTTAAATGATCACACTGGAGTTTTTTTTTTTAGTTTTATGGTCCTAGGAAACAATAGCTATCGTTGCAACTTTTACTGAGATCAGAAAGGTGCTGATGATATCGATTAGATCTGTAGAACTGCCATGGAATTTAAATAAAATCAGATCACTTTGTTTACCATATCTTACTGCATGTACGTTAGTACAAAGAGAAATGAGAAATTTTAATTTCGCTAATGCTCATTTTTTTCACAGTTAAAGGTCTGGGTGGTTCCATTCCGAGACAAGTCGTATGTTGGCGTTGTCGTCAGACACCTAACCCGCTCTGTAAGCTCCTAGGATGTGCACCGTGATGTATAGGACTCAGTCATGTCCCATTGTCACACAGAAACACAGCTGTTTACTAGTAATACATTCTTAAATAATGGTTCACACTTACATAAAGATGGTTTTC